TCGGGATGACAGAGAGGTACCCTAATCATTACCTTTGCATGCCCAGGCCAGAGAGCAGGAGCGTGACCTAAGTGCCTCCCTCCTCAGGAGGCGGGCCTTGGGTTATTTAATACGTCACATGGTTTAATTCTTTTCTTTAGCATTCCTCAGGAATAATACTTGTAAAATAATATACAATATAGCTCTTACTGACCTATAAAGCTTCTTGCCTATGTTCATGGATTGCATTAATTGATTTCTGGACCATTCACATTCAAGGGAGTGTCAAAAATCTGCCGATCTTACTTCAGTTCTAAAATTGTATTTGCATCTCTGATCCACCAGAAAGTTATACAACACCACATGTAGCCAAGCCGTTACACCACTGAATAGGCTAAAGTATGTCATTCCAGCAGGTGACAGGATTGTATTTTGTGCAAAAGAGTCATTTTGAATACGCCTTTCTTATAGACATTTTCATATAAAGAAGTATTACCTGTTGCTAAATCCAGCTGATCTTTATCAGTTTGCTTTGCTACCTGGGGATTTGCTAGCACAAATGAAGCAAACGTTACGGGGCAGTGCCTGCTTCTCACGGGAAATAGTACATCCTCAGATACTCGGCTAGGGATGGAGGATGCTGCCCAGGACAAAATGATAATTTAAAGCAGCATTCCAGTGATCTGGAATTAATGCCTGAATGCTGAGGGGCAGGTGAATTTTGCTTCTACTATATCCAGTATCTGACAATGCAGGGTGTCACATTTCACACTATAAAAGAGTCTTTTCTGGGTAATGTGACTGTAAGAGCCTGTTAGTATTTGTATAGATGCAGGTATGAACCTACGTGTGCTTTCTTAAGACTGAATATTGGGCTCAGAGCCTCAGCATCTGCAGTCATGGCTATTCCAGTGTATTCTTGCAGGCAGATGATATAGCATCTCTTATTAATATTGTTTGATAAGTCCCATTGAAAGGTCTTCTTTCTATTTATTTAGAATTTTGCCAGTCTTGACCCAATAAAGCTGAAATTGGTTTTGCTTTTAGCCCGTTCTTTTTTATTGAAACCAAAAAGGAATTCTTCTTTCCCTCCAAATGGAAAAATATTGTTTTGTCCATGTTACAGAAGTCTTACAGCTTTGTTTTTTAAATGCCCAAGAATGTGTATGCTCTGGAGTAGGGTCGCTCACCCTTAAGGCAGGGGTTTCCCTGTTTTCCTGTTTGCGGAAATCTGACTGAATTTCACAAATTTATATATCTTTGGGGGAAAAAAGCATCATTCTCCAGTACTCAGTTCAGGTTTTACTAGAGTTTGACAGCTAAAATTTCCAAGGGCTCTTGGGACTGGGACTCACTTTCCCAGTAAGGCTCCTTGCAGGAGCCCAGCGGGGCTATCCACGTGCCAACTGTAACAACTAACAAGCCGCGCTGCAGCTCAGGGCTGTGTGGGCTCGTGGACAATTCCACTGCCAAGCCCGTGGGGAAGGCCCAGGCAGTGCTGCCCGCCAGAGCAGCGAGCCCCTCCTTCTCCTGTGCTCCTGGCGGATGCACCCGGGATCCGGGTGGCCTTGCAAAGGAAGACCTGAATGTAGCGGAAAGAAGAGGGAAGAGGAGAAGAGAAAAGAGAAGGGAATAAAACAGGGTGAGATGACATTGGTGCTGGAGAGGGGAGAGAAGCAGTAACTGGGAGGTAAAAGGAGAAGATGGAAGATGATTAAATAAGGGAGAGTCAGAAGTCAATGAGAAAAACATGGAGAGAGGGGAGATGCTTGACTGGGGAGGGGGGTGGGGCAATGACACAGAGGGAAGAGGTCCTCTTGCCTGGTCCCTGCCTGGATGGGAAGCTGGAGGAAGAAAGGGATATGGGGTTCCTTTGGAGAAAGAATCTGCTGTTAGGAGGAGGCAGAGTGGGGAAAAGGGCCAAGAGAGGATCTTGGGGGGAAAAAACCACAAAATCAAGATCCAGAAGGAAGGCTTGGACTGCTGAGGCAGGGAGCCTTACAGAAGCCAGAAAGGAAATCTGCCTGGCAGTCCAGTGCTGGAGCAGGGATGCTTTCAGGCCCCCCTGACACTGGGGAAGGAAATGGCAAGAGTCTCCCCGTACTCAAACTGCTACTGCAAACGCTCACTCTTGGAGCTCCTGTGGCAAAGATCTGTGCGCTGGCTCTGAGGATAGCCATGGGATGCCTCTCTAGGGAAGTGTGGTGTGAGAGGGAGGAGCACTACAAAACCATGCAGAGATACATTTTTAAAACTGTATTCTGCGACTAAAAGCCAAGCTCTAACACATGAAGAAATTCCTATCAGAGTAGCATACAAGGCTTCATTCAGCCCTGTTGGTGTGAGAAGATATTTATTACACCATATGCTGTTTAGACTGTACTTGCCATTATTGCCTGTGACTGCCTCTGGGGAATTGCAAACCCAAGACCCAGCCCGCGTACAGCTCGCTCTGTGCTCTGCAAGGTGTGAATTCACATTTCTGGTGCAGGGATGGCTAAACTACATCCTGAAGTGGCCACAGTGTCAAGTTGTCCTACAATCCTGCCCTCACATTACTCAGAGTCCTCCTAGGGAGTAGCCGCCAGCTGGCTCTGGCAGAAGATACATGGGGTTGAGATGTATGGTGGCAGAGAGGTGGAGTGTGTACACCCACGCCAGAGCACATCCATCTACTGCCAGAAGAGAAGGAGAAGCACATTTGCCACATTCGTATTCCTGTGCCTGGGAAAGGACTGTATGCTGGACATTTGCATTAGCTATTTTCAGTTTTACAGACAGACAGGGTCTGCATGTGCATCTGTCATTGAAAGTCAGGTTTCATGGGGCATATCCTTGTGGGCACCTCTATTCCTCTTCATCCTTTTGGTCCCCCACTTTGTTGTTCACAGTAGCATATTCCTATGGCAAACACGGATAATGCTTACTAGGAAAAGTAATAAGAATAAGGTATTTAATGTATTTTTAGCCTTCTTTAATGTGTTGTAGCTGTGAATACAAGGCAAAAAGCGACACCATATGACCATGCTACTTTGGGAATGGTCTATAAACTGCAGCTAAAATAGTTTCAAGACATTTACGCAGTGCAAAAGTCACGTGAATAGAGGTTTATCACAATCAGTAGGAATGCTGGATTTTCATATCACACATTCGCTGCTTAGGATGATTAGCAGGAAATTTAATTTGCACTAATTAGCCTTAGGGGAGCCAGAAATTAACTTGATGGGTAAATTTCACATTTTACTATATACCATACCAACATGGAAAAATTTGAGTTAAAGCCTGAGTTAAGTCTTATGCCAATACACTGGACTTCACTTTCCCTAAATTAAATTAAATTAAAAGACCGTGGAAAATTAATATATGCATGGTGAGTGGGTGGGGTTTTTTAGGAGGTAGAGTCGTAGAATAGTCTTTCAACGTATTCATTGAATTGTCAGCAACTTCCAAAGAGTGTAGTATATTTTTGTACATTAAATTATGTTAATACCTAATATTACAGCAAAAGCTTTAAGAAGTCCTAATTTTCTGTATTTGTGTATTTTCATTATATAATGTGCGTTATGACTGCACATGCAGTATTCCACATTGTAACGCACAGAGCAGAAACAGTTTTCACAGAACTACTGTGAAAATGCCATACTTTTTAATTTACAACACCCACTTGCAAATACATTTTTAGGGTCAGGAGCCTTTGTTTGTACGCTGGAAAAATTCCTATGAACATAATTTTTTTAGAAATTATTCTCAAAAGTATACAGCAAATGAGGCAGGCATGAGTCACCACATACTTCTAACAGACAAATAAGAATTAGGAACTAATAAACTCTAATCTTGCCTGTTGACGGGGACTTTTCTATATCATTCTTCCAAAACACAGTTTAGATTTCTTTGTTTTTCCCTCTGTAAAATGGAGGCAATTTTTATGTATCCACCACTCGGAATTACTGTGGATTGATTAATGCATGCAAAGCAATGAGTCATTCGGTATGGAAGTATCAGTCTATTATAAAGTGAAGTGTTCTGTCATACCAGGCTTGTGGTTGTATCCAAATTTATCTGTAAAAAAGGAAATGGAAGACATCAGTTGCATACAAGATAGTGGTCTTTGATGTCAGTGCTTCTGCTAGTTTGTGCATCTGAAATACACCCAGAAGCTCACTGTTACTAGTATGTATTTGGAATTAGACCTTTTAGTACTTACCTGAAACAGCTATTGAAGTGAGAGGTGTGACTTCAGTGGGAGTTTTGCCTAATGAAGTACTGCAGAACTGCGTACCTTGAGTCCGTAGTTTGGGGTTTAGGTGGTGCAAATAAGGTAGTTTAGGTGTCTGCTCAGAATTTCTAGCCTATGACATAAATGCTTCTGGTCTAAACAGAGGTCTCAGCTGGGCCTGTGGGTAGTCATGTGTTGTGTAACTCATCATACTGCAGTCTCAGGTCCTTCAGTCCCCAGGACTCTGAGTTCTCAGCAGTAGCCCTCCTGTTCAGTCAAGAGTGTGTGTGTGTGTGTGTGTGTGTATGTGTGGGTGGGTATACATAAATACACACGTGCCCACACACAGGCAAACATAAATGTGTACTCAACCCCCCTATATAAATGTGCTTTGCCTTTTTGGGTGTACGAGTATATTTCTGTAAATGCTCGCCACTTACATTTATACATTTATGAGTAATATCCAACTTTCAGTCATAATTGACACCATGTGGCTTTCTGTATAATAATTACTTTGGGACAAAAAACCTTGCAGATGGTTTCAAGAGTGACTCTAACTCGCCATCACTGTAAGAAGATAAAATAAGATGAGCCCACTCCCTCTGAATGGAGTAAGCCGTTTTCATTGATTTCAATGGGAGCAGGCGCAACTTCATTTCTACAGCAGACAGAGAATATGTATTATATTCATTAAATGAAAGTTTGATTTCATTGAGCTTAAAATTATTCATGTTCTGTTAGCAAATGGTTTGAGATTTTATAACCTAGAGCATTTGCTGAATTCTGCTTTGTATTTTCCTCACAGCAATTGGAAGGACCCTCATTCCTCGTTATTTTAGCACTGTCTTTGAAGGAGGTGTAACAGACCTGTATTACATTCTCAAGCACTCAAAAGAGTCATACCACAACTCATCCATCACAGTGGACTGTGATCAATGCACCATGGTCACTCAGCATGGAAAACCCATGTTTACCAAGGTAACAGGGAAGACTCAATAAAGCATGTTGTTGGTTTGTTTTTTTTTTGGTTTTTGGGTTTATTTTTTTTCTTGTTTCAGTGTATATAAGGGTGAAAAATACTGGCTGTTGCATTTTTCTGGTAGACTGAGATTATTTCTAATACTGAAAACCCTTGAAGCCATTTAATTACTATTTTCTATATTCATTACGTGACTGGAAAATTCTGTGGGCATCCTCTCCAATTCTCCCAGAGAGACTGCAAGAGAAGCACGTAATGCCAAGCTGCCGGCACCATCAACTGTATGTGAATTAAATTCAACCTGCCCATCTCCTTCTCTGGGCTTGATTTTAAAGCAACAATGAGATTTCACATTGCTGGTACCTACCATTTAGGATGGTATGCGTTACATTTGATAGTTACCCAGTCCAAGGACTACAAATCTCTGGGAAAATAGTGATTTAACAGAGTAGGATGCTGGTCCAAAGGGCAGTGAGGTCAATGAAAGGAGTCAATTGGTTTAAACATGCTCTGGATCAGGCAGTTAGTGAATATTCAATATTTGTAATTGATAGTGAATTCCCTTCATGCATTGGCCACTTCTAGTTCTGTAATTAAACTGAGTGCCGTAGATTTATAAAAAACATTACCAAAGAGGGGGAAAATGCAAATTAAACGAAAAATTTTCTTATATTACAAAAATCGGTAAACTGATTTTCAAAATGGAAATCCATTTTGTAAATTGACAGGAAATTATGATTTTCCATCTTGTACCTGTTCATCTTTATGAATTTTAACCTTTGCATGGAGTAAAGCACAGAAGGAGAAGACGCAGCAGGAGGAGATAACCCATCTGTGTTGCCCCTGGCCTGAGGAATGCGGAAGTTTTAGAGTCAATTAAGGCACTGGCTATCGGCAGCATCGTGACCAGAACCATGGCTTATGTTGTTTTAGCACGCGCGTGAGTGCCATCCCTTCGCAGCGTCTTCCCTGCCATCTCCGTGGCTCTTGGGCTCGCAGAAGGAGGGGAAGCCGCTGCTGAGCTGGGAGGTGTGCGATTCATGCCGCCGTTGTTCCAGCTCTCCCACTGCAGACCCCTGTGACTCATCCAGACACAGAGAGAGATGCGAAGAGAGGAGACAGTCCCACCTCTGTGCCACCTCCCTGCTCAGGAGGAGCAGTGCGTGCTGGCCACGTGCAGAGGACGTGACAAGGATATACAGTAGCTGCTTCTCTGTGGGGCTCCCTAAAGCAGTTTCTGTTTGTGTTAGCTTTAATGCAATAGCAAATAAAAGGTGGTGGGGTTTTTTTGAGTCAGGAAATACAAGATGCTTTTCTCAATTCAATTAGTTGATGTTACTTATCATGGCACCACGTTACAGTGTTGTTACTTTGGGAAGGAGGCTTGCATCCAGCAAGCCAAAGACAGACTCGCAGCCGGAGCCGGGCAGGGGCACACCTCGTGGGAGGGGGGCCACCCTCGCCTCCCGCAGCAGCGTCCTGTTGTGTGCAGTCTGTCTGTCCGTCCGCTGCAGTCCTGGCAGCGCACGGCCTGCTTCAGCCCCGACATTTCTGTTGTGGATTCCAGTATAAACCTCCGTATCCCGGTAGAAAAGTTCAGGTGGGGATGTGATTTGGATTCTAGGAGAAAAATTAGGAGTTTTTAATGGCTGTGTGTTTAAAATATGACTGTGTTAGTAAGGGCAAATTTGAAATAAAACACAGTAGTTGGTGGAATAAAGGAGAAAAGAATGTGTTTCTCAGAAGTTAGAGCTGAATGTTGTCTCAGCTGTGCATGAGTAACTTCTAGCAGAGACACCAAGGGCACAGATCTTGTACCCCAAGGTAAGCTCCTGCTCTCACAGCATCGGTGGTGGAACAAAGCAGACCTCCCATAATACGCAGCACTCCAGTGAACTGTGTAGCTCTGTAGATCATGTCTGAATTTGATCCAGTGAAACTACCAAAAGGGTGTTTTTAATGCAAAAATACAAACTAACGATATTTGTTAATAGCTGTTTCAGTTTCACAAACAACTTCTAAGCTGCAAATTCACTAACTTGTAGTATAATGGGCTGAAACAGTTCTCATCATGCATTGAATCAGGAATCCACAGCTACATTTTATTCATTTCAACATTTTCCTGTAGTAACTCACTGCATACTGCAGTATTGGACAAGTATATAAAATGGCATTTCCAGTTTTTTTTCAAACAAATATGGCTAGAACATGCCTAACAGTAAGAATATGAATAGTCCAGCTTGTCTTTAGAGGGCAAGAGGTCCTTAGAAACTGTCACACACTTAAAAATTTTTTATCAAGGTATAAATAAATAAAGAATTTAATACAATCCAACGGCATGAATTATATGTGGTAAAAGGAGACTGAAGCCCTGACTACCATGTTTGTTTACCTGGCAGATGCTTCATGTTTTTCTCCAGGTAAAGTAAAGCCTTAGGAGTCCTCCTGAGTCTCTGTTTTCACCGTGTTTACCGGCACTCCAACTTTATGTGTAGTCAAACTGTTTTTCTGCAGTTAGCGATGTTTATATTTCCCAATAGACTTGGAGAGGCGAGCTTTGCCTTCACCTTTAGAGCAGTGAGCACCCCATGTTCGAACCATTGTCTTCCTGCAGCCAACAGTGGGGCCGTCAGCTGGATTTTATGGGTGAAGCCCTTGAAACTCAGTGATTTTAATGCTTACTAACAATCTCAGGCACTTCCCAGGTCTGTATAAGCTTTAGGTTTCTTTTCAAGGAACGACTCAGGTTCGAGAAATGGAAGTTAATAAAAGAGGAAGACTTCTAAAAGATACCTGGTGTTAGGAGAGAAAGACTCTGAGCAATAAGGCACAGGACTAAAGTTGGTTTTTGTAGGTGCAAACAGTTGAAATTCCTACACTTAATAAGTGCAGTGAAGGGGTTAAAAAGCTATTGGTTAGTTTGAGAAATGTTCTTTTTTAGTTTTTTCCTGGCCTAGTCTAGAGCAACCACGTGATATACTGAATGCCTGCCAGCCTCTTTCTTGTTGATCCTCCGGAGACCATCTGTGCTGGGGGCATTGATTAGAGTGTGTCTGCTGGGATTACATCTTTTCTGTTGCCATGCCAACTAATCAGCTGATTTTGGTTACCACAGAAACAAAATGTCAGAGCTCACAGTACGGTAACATGAATTCAGCACAACAGAAAATGTTTTCTTAATTGGAGACCCTTTTGATTTTTTGGATTCTATGTAAAAGGCTGCTTTTTTTAAAAAAAAAGTCCCATTTAAAATAAGAACTGCACCAATTTTACTGATCAAAAGCAATGCGTAAAATTCCGCTCTGCATAAGCAACTTAAATTCCTTTATAAGATGTGTAAATTTTTACCACTGTGATATGAGGAATGTGTTTCGGTTTTTCTATTAAAATTTGTTAATGCCAGTGCATAAAATAAATCTGTTAAGAGCTGTAGGGTTTTGAGCTTAAGAGAGCAAGCATTTGAGAAGCCACAGGTATTAATATAAAAATATATAAACCTGAAATATTTTCATGTTAACTGGTCAGCAATCAGGGTTTTTGGCCTCAGCACAGTAACATAAATTTTTTTTCTTCTTGTATGAATCCTTATGTGTGTGCATGTGTACTCCTGTGTAATTTCTCCTCATAGTGCAAGTGATGTGAAAATCAAAAACAGGGTCAAATGACAAAATAAGTCACATTAAAAATTTGAAGGCGTCACTAAGGTGTGTTGAAAAGGGCAGATGAGAACCTGTTGCAAGATTCTTCTTCATAGGTCTGCAGTGATTTGCCTGTATAGTGTGCCTGTTAGAATTACTTACGTGCTTTTGCAGAAACAACCAGAAGGAAAACCTATGATGATGCTAAGTGAACTGTTAACCAGAAAAGCCACACATTGCCCAAGTGGGAGCTAGCCAAATCTGAGTTGGGGCTTGTAAAGAGGCTCAACAGGCTCAGCTGAATCTAGCATGGCAAGTTGTTTAATCAAATATTAGTTGTATTAAAATTAAAGTTGCAGAAACCGTTTCTTTTGAAAATTGTGACACCCTATTTCCACAATATCTCTGCACCCTGCACTTGCAATTTTACTTTGAACACGAGTTGTAAGTCTGAACATCCAATTTAAAAAAAAAAAAACAATGACAGATGTAGGTAGTTTTCAGATCAGGCATCATTTACAGTACTCCATGGTACCCCTAGTCAAGATACTATGCCAGGTGTATGTTTTGCACCTTAAAGAAGACCACAACCACAGTGTTTTTTCCACAGAAAGTTGTGGACAATTGTTTAAAAGTCTCCAGTTATTTATTTTATTTTTCATCCCAGGTAGTACCTACTTGCTGCATTTATTCCTCCCATATTTTCCCCCGTCTCTTAGACAAGACCCCTCACAAAGCTGCATGAGCCACTTTTTGTGGAAGCAGCTCTGTTGTCCATGACTGCAACCTCTCCTGTCCTCCTCTGGCTTTCAGACCTGCCGTGGCAATGCAGCTTGTACAGCCTGATGGCAGACACCCCATCTGGCTTTTCTTGGAAGGCGGGATGAATGAAAGTAGATAAGAAATGAAAGAAAAATAAAAATGAGATAAAATGCCTGGAAAAGACAAGAACACTTGGAAAAGACAAGAAATGAAAAATAGGAGAAAAATCAGATTTAACCACAGGCATCCAGGGCACTGTGTACTCCAACTGGGCATGAAAGGAAGGTTTATATGCCAAGCTATCGTAAGGAAAGGATAACGTAAAACAGGTTGGGAATGACTGGTTCAGCAACTTGACATCAAGTGCGCACAGTTGCACCACAACCACCTCCACTGCGAGGTTCAGTCATTAATTAGCAGCAGCAAACTGCGAGGGCAAGAGAATTGATGCAATAAATAAGATTTAGTACACACAATATTCTATGTTTGTAAAATGCTGTAAAATCTATAATATTATAAGTTACTGTCTCCATGGAAAGGCCTATGAAGTCATTTTCCCACATTCGTTTTTTCTCCCCAGGAGAAAGAAAACAATTAATCTAGCAGAGATGAACAATAGAATACTGCTCTGATATTTTTGAATGTTGTTTAATCGATGATACAATACCATTGAAAACAAAATTTGTGGGAATTTATTTCATGCATTTTATGTATTCTAGGTATGCACAGAAGGACGTCTTATCTTGGAGTTTACTTTTGATGATCTTATGAGAATAAAAACATGGCACTTTACTATTAGACAGTACAGAGAATTAGTCCCACGCAGCATTCTAGCCATGCATGTAAGTAATCCCTTTTTCTCTTGACCTAATGCAAAGAGATGAGATTAGGTTTATGAAGAACTCCAGCAAATTTCACACCCAAGGCAGTTAACTATAAATATTTTGTTTTGCCTGCAACTACATCCATTTAGAAGTTCTTTCATCAGTCCCTTGTTTCTCAGTGTTCTATTGTTGCCAGTGTTGATATGTTTTTATTTTGTTTAGCACATAGATTTCCTTTTAATCCCATTTGGTAGTCTGAATGATTTAGGCTCAAAATCTGTTCTTATTGATATGAACTACGCTAAAGTCAGTGAATTTTCATCACTGTAGGTATGAACTATACTTAGTCGTTAAACTAACGTTACCCTTGCCTGAGACAGAAAATAAGTAATTACCGAATATGTATTTAGAAACCTTCATAATTTTAATCTAGATCTTTTTTCCCATTTCAAGACTTTTGTAATTGAATGAAAACACACACAATAGAACATTAAAATATTAAATATTCTAGAAGTTGAAATGAAAATATTATAAAGTAGATTGTTGCGGAGAAACAAAGTACAGAGTCTTATTGCCACTTTCAGTTCCACACTGTAGAAGCATTCCGACTAGTAGTGCTCCGTATACAAGATTAATTGCAGGACTGTAGTTTTACAGAGGGTAAGAACACAGACCCAAATACGCGCCTGTATTTTGACACCCAGATACTTAGATATCCATAGAAAAAGATACATTCTTAGGGAGGAATTTTAAATTACTTAAGAAACCTGGACTTTTTTGAAAATGCTATTACAGGCCTGCAGAAAATACCTTTGAAAACCTGCCCCACCATTTCTGTCCCAGGGTCATCTTTCATTTTAGAGGGCTGATCTTCTGAACAGTATCCCATTAAGGGACAACAAGGATGGCCACGAGCAACGTTATGTATTTAGGGGGCTGCTGCAATTCAAAGAGAGTGGAAGCAGGTTAGCTAGCAATCAGCAGGTATTAATTTTAGTGATGAGATTGATCTCATTTTAAAGAGGAGGCTGGTCTCACAGGTAAAGCTCCTGGCTAGGGTCAGAGAAAGACTGTACTTGCATTTTTCCTGTTTAATTCTGGGGAAGATAACTTAGACCAGAAGGGTTCTCCAGCCTGTGCTTAATGCCACTTATGTGATCAGCTCTGCTGAAGGTGCCTCGATAAATTCTCTCTACTTCAGTTTCTTATCCACAAAAAGAAAGTATTACCTTCTTTATTCCTGCCTTTATCTGCCTGGTCTCCTGGGACTCCCAGCTGACAAATGGAAGACTCAAATTGTACTGTGATCCCTCAGGAAGCTCTTTGGTGGGGCCCTGCTCACTTGTACTCCTGTGCATGACTGGACCTCCTAGGTCTATCTTTTGAATGGGCAGGACAAAAGGAAGATATTGGAAAACAGTCTTTATTCTGCTCCAATTTCATAACGTTTTACATTTTCTATGCAAACAGAACTCTGTAGCTTATTATATAAATTTAGCATCAATGTGTAATTTTTCCATAGGAGTGGCACCTCTTCTCAGAGAACCCTTCCTGGCATCCACCAAGCACACAGAGAAAAACAAATAGACAAAAAGCAAATGAAAATTCTGTTTTCCTCTGTTGTTTAGGCACAAGACCCTCAGGTGCTGGAGCAGCTGTCCAAAAACATCACTCGAATGGGTCTGACAAACTTCACCCTCAACTACCTCAGGGTAAGCGTACCATAGCTGATGATTATTGTGAGCATTTTTTAAAAGTTACTGTTAGCTTTGAGTCAAGGTAACGAGAACAGAGCATGTGTTGGTCAGGTAAGAAATGGACCTAACCTTTAAGGGTGAAGGAGAAACCTGGAGACTGTAATAAAGATGTAGCTGCTAACATTGTGCCATTAAAAAGGATAAGAATTGTATCATGGAGTCAAAGCAATGTGTGAGTAGCCCCTGTTTTTAACAGTTTTTCTTCTCAGATTTGAATAATGGCTTTATTTTTTGTAAGCAAGAAGTTCCCCACCATTTTTCCTCTCTGCTTCACTGTTCCTGAGAAAATGGCGGCTCATTCTTATTAAGAGCTGTCGGTCTTCTCGAGCTTTTTGACCTTCCCACCTCTCACAGGCAGAGGCAGGGCTGAGGGAAAGCTCAGCTCCAGCCCTTTTTTGCAGCAGTCCCTCAAAGCAGTGCTCACTTCACTTGCCTCTGGGAGCCTTAGCTCCCTCCTCAACCTTGCACTGAATCGACTGTGTTTTTCATGATTAAATAATGCATTTGTTCCCATTGCTTTTTGACCCTTGAAGTGCATTCAAAGTTTGGAAGTTTATTTTTAAAAGTATTCCCTGGTGTGGGCTTACAATGCATACACTGAAATATGAGTTTGTAGAGTTCATATTTCAAGGTTAAAATTCAGATTTTTCTTATTTCTAGACGTGCCACTGGTAGATAAAATGAGGCAAAGTGCTCAATGATACACCAAGCTAACTTTGCCAAGGATATCTGATTTTATTCCTTTTAATTGTGTGAGTAATTATTCAAGATGCTTTTTTAAGATAACAAGAACACTAGGAAATGCAGTTATTTTCAGCCTAACATAGAGCTGTACCTGACAGTCTATGTTTTAGCTGCACTTCATTCAGGTCTATGAACCTTGTAATACCTTCCCTATGGATGGGGTCCTACCCCCAGAGTGTTTTGAACTCCATGGGGGACAGTGTGCAGGACTGAGCTGTGTGGTGAGATCTCTCTCATAGCCAGCCTGTAGTTGTACTTACTCTCCCAATATGGTAAGCCATTGGTGATTGTTGCTTCTATGGTGTTAGCATAAAAGTTACTGTTCAAGTTGCAGTCTGAGTTGTATAGGGCAGGTCTGCTGTAGCGTGACTGAAAGGACAATATGCCATAAAACCTCAGGAATAATACATTGCATTAGAATTTTTCCATGTATGGATACAAGAATAAGATGTCTATGTTTACTCTGTGTTTTGGTACAGAGAGTTACCGTTGCGCTTTGACAACATCCCTTAGCCATGCCATCGTTCTCTCGTGGTGAGGCATCCTAGAACATGTTCTCCAGAAATCCCCACTGGGAATTCCTCCTCAGTCAGCCCAAGTTTAGCATTACGCCCTCATGGCAAACTGGGCAGCAAGCAGCTGGCTTAGGTAGGCTGTTTCCATATCTTCTTTCTGAATTTCCCTGTGACACAAGGCATTGCCCTACTTTTGAGGTCTTTGATCCCTTTAGCACAACCGGACACACTGGCAAGCACTGGGGCTGGCCCGCACCAGGCACAATACTGGGTACCCGTTCTCCGTGAGGCTCGAATGGCCGTGCTGAATTTCCAGCGCTGTCTCAATCACCGACCCCTTCCAGGTCTTTTGTGGCATATTTGGCCATTGCTGAATGTGACAATGCAAATGAGAAAGGCAGGGTCCCTGTTAGGGTGCAGCTGGCATCAGGCACCCATGCTGCTCCCCCATCAGTGTCAAAAAAAGAAAGAAGGAAAGGGGGGGACGGAGAAAAAAATCCTCAGAAAAAGAAAACTGGGATCAAGATAAGCGCTAGGGAGATGAGCAGTGAAGTGGCAGGGGATGAAAAGATGAAGTCTTACTTTTTTTCTTCTTCCAGACTAGTTTTCTTAGCTTAACAGACAACATTAGGTCTCTAGGTGCAAAGCTTCCTCTGGTTCCCGCTGTGGTGATTCCAAAGGAAATCTTTTTTTTCCAAAGCCAATCTTTGCATCTCTCTTTCTTGTGTTGAGGAATTGATCATTCTGCTCTTTTTTCAGATGTTCGGCTCATCATGGGAGCTCGTATTAGATGATATATTTCCATTTTGACTTCTTTCCCAGTGACTTTCTTCTGTTAATTTTAACATGAAAATCTTTTCTGAACTTGGGATTGTAAAATCATGCACTAAAAAATGTGGTAAATGCACTTAGGTTTAAGGTGTTTTGTTTTGTGGTTTTTTTTTTTTAAGTCAGCATTTTATGATATTTTATTCAGTCTTCCCAGTGTTTAGTAATTAGTGCTGTTACATGGTTTTGAATAAGGATTTGAAACTAAGCATAAAAATGATTTTCTTTTTTTTTCTGCTGCACACAGCAAAGGCTTGTGATACTTATAAGCGAGAACTTCACTGATGGGCAGAATTAATCATTTTTATTCTCCAGCGTGCACACAGCAGCAAGCTGTGCCGCAGTCTCTTTAAAGACAGAATTTAAACCTGGATTTCAGATGGTTGTGATATAAAGGTACAGCCTGTGTTTTTTACAGTCTAGACATCACAGAATGCTAAATCATTGCTAGTTGGGATAATTGCAGTTGCTGGCATGTAAACCTCCATTCTAGAGTGCCACATGCCTGTGGAGCCACAGCTTTGGATGTTTGCCCTGGTTTGTCTTCATTCACTCCAAGTAAAGCTGTCCAGCATAGGAGAACATTGATTTTGTAAATCATATTTAATATGAATTTAAAATACATCTTATTGGAAGCTGGAAATGAAATGTTTTGTCCTGTGTCATTTGCCAAATGCTCTTTCTCCCGGTTTTCTCTGGCTCTGTTTAAAACCATAGGCTTCCTTTCTCTCTAGTTCCTAGTTTGTTTTGTTCCAGCATAATTGATTACCTCATCAATGGGGTCAGCATACTTTGCTGTAGCTGCTGACTAGGACTTGAATAGGCTGTCTCAGAAATAATGAGAAAAACCTTGTAGGTTTTAAATTAATATCAAGCCTTTTAAAATGTAATTTCTCATCAAGTCATCAAGTAGTAGATATTACAAACTATCAGATAATAAGGCCAAGACCTATATCTTAATGTCAGTCAGTACGAATCCAGGAACAAACAGGAATCCTGTACAGAGTTTGAAGAGGGAGATAACACTTAGAACAACAGTTTCCACTAAGCTACAATAATTTAGTCCCCATACATTTCCTTCGTATTTTTTTTTCTATGTAATTTTCTAGTTGCTCGGCTATTTTATTTAGATCTTCACTGCATAATGGATTTGAATGCACTCTAAAAACAGTAGCTTTGTACTAGCAGCACTATTCACTATTTGGAGCTCAAATATTTCTTGCTGCCATCTATAAAATTATTTATTCTCTAAAAATTTCTGATGGTGTAAAAAAGCCAGCCCCTGCTGTCAATTAGGCAGGACTATCTGGCCTGAGCCTTGAAATATAGGTGTGTCTTGCCCAGCAGGTTTTCAAAATTTGTCTCTGCTTTCTTGCACTGGTTGGGTTGGAGCGATTTCTAAGTGCCCCTCCCCAGGTGTAGCTATTGCATCCTCCCCATGCTGTGGGCCTGCTCTGGTAGTCGGTTTGTTGGCTTTAATGGAGCCAAATCAGCATCTGCCCTTTGCAAAGGGAGACGTCGCATGGCGCAGCCCTCCCGCTCTGCATCAGGAGAGGTATCTACGCAGGGGAACGCACGCTCCCATTTCCCCTTACATGCTGTATGGTTGAATTAACCAAAGCATATCTGAGCTACAAATTATCCAATTTGTTTGTTTTCTGTAGAAACCAATAATAAAGTATTACTGTTGCAACACAGAAGACAATATTTTCTGAATCCTCACTTTCACTAATTTAGTTCCTCACTAGACATTTTTGGATTTCTTCTGCTAGGAGGACAATATGAACTATTTAATGGGACACAATCTACTAAAGGCAATACTTACATTGCAATCAGAAGCCATTTGTACGTATACCCATTATGTGTCAAAATTTTCTTTTGCACATGCGAAATAGACATGCATGCTACATCTTCCTTTAATGTGCAGGGAAATTTGCTTTTCTAAAGACACTTTCCTGCATGGAAAGGGTATGAACTCGAATCATTTAGGAGCTAGTCTGCTCCTAATATGTAACAGTTTGTGGCAGCTGTCTGGTCAATATTTTACAGCTGTTTCTGTGTCTTCGGTGAAGAAGGAGAAAGGTTACATGCAAGCAGGTTAAGGATGCAAAGTCAGGTACTCAGGGAAAAGAAATGCAATATGTATAGTCACCTGTGCAATACGAATTTGTTTCCCTTTGGGTTACATTGTGTCATCATCTTCTAGGTACATCATCACGCACTGTGTTTCCCAGAGACTCCCCAACACATGCAGTGCATGGGAGGAGTAGCCCTCACTCAGTGGCAAGTGATCCAGTGCTGCTCGTTTCCCCATGGGCTTTTCTGCAGCGTCATTCTGGTATCTCAGCTGCCGGTGTTACTGGCTGCACAGCACCTCCCAGCTACAGAGGCCTTGTCATTCCCGGTGTGCACGTGGGGCATTGAGGCACACGGATGAGCATTGGGGCACTCGGAGGGGTCAGCTAACGGAAGGTGGCCGTTCTGATTTTGCAGAGCACTTGGAATGTACTAATAACAAAACTGTTGCCATTGGATGCAGTCTGTTGTCTCAGGCTAGCTATATAGTTAAAAAAAATGAACAGACAGTGTTTCTGGGAAAACACTTGTGAAAATGCTTTCTCCATGACTTAGTACCACAGTGGAGCTCAAGGGCAGGGGCAGTTTAAGGCAGCATTGGGTTACTCTAAGTTCATCCTTTCTTGTTCTGCAGTTACCTGCTTCATGCTTCTGCTAGATTTCCATGTCCTCAGTAGATACGAATGAAGTCCTACACACAGCAGCTTCATTTACTTTGTGGTGTGCACTGAATGGGGGGTGTTAGGGAAACAGAGTAGGTGATTGTGTAGCAAGATGCTGTATCCGAATGGA